GGAATGTGGGAATGGGAATGTGGGAATTTGGGAATTTGGGAATATGGGAATGGGATCCGGGATCCGGGATGTGGGATCTGGGAATGGGATCTGGGAATGGGATCCGGGATGTGGGAATGGGATCCGGGATCCGAGATCTGGGAATGGGATCCAGGAATGTGGCAATGGGATCTGGGATCTGGTATTCGGGCTCTGGGATCCAGGATCCGGAATCTGGGATCGAGAATGGGATCCAGAATTTGGGAATGGGATCTGGGATCTGGGAATGGGATCCAGGATCTGGGATCGGATCCGGGAATGGGATTTGGGATCTGGGAATGGGATTGGATCTGGAATCTGGGATGTGGGAGTCGGAATATGGGAATTTGGGAATGGGATCCGGGATCTGGGATCTGGAATGGGATCCAGGAATGTGGCAATGGGATCTGGGAATGGGATTGGATCTGGGATCTGGGAATGGGATCCGGAACTTGGGATCTGGGATTTGAGATCTGGGAATGGGATCTGGGATGTAGAATATGGGATTGGATCCAGAATCTGGAATCTGCGATTTGGGAATGGGATCCGGAATTTGGGAATGGGGCCTGGGATCCGGGATCGGAATCTGGGATCCGGGATCTGGGAATGGGATTTGGGATCGGATCCAGGATCCGGGATCTGGGAAATGGGAGCCAGAATTTGGGATCCGGGATCCGGGATCTGGGAATGGGATCTGGGATCTGAGAATGGGATTGGATCTGGAATCTGGGATGTGGGAATGGGATCCAGGAGGTGGGAATGGCCCCGGATCCGGGAACAGCTCCAGGGTCCGGGATCAGATCCAGGATCTGGGAAGGACCCAGGAATCCGGGAATGGGCCCAGGATGTGGGATGGGATCCGGGATCCGGGATCGGCCCCGTTCCCATCCCCATCCCCATCCCCATTCCCATCCCTATTCCCATCATTCCCATCATTCGCATCATTCCCATTCCCATCATTCCCATCCCCATTCCCATCCCCATCCCGATTCCCATCCCCATCCCCATCCCCA